GCAGCAGCAGCAGCAGCAGCAGCAGCAGCAACAGCAACAGCAACAGCAACATCAACAGCACAGCAACAGCAACAGAAACAGCAACAGCAACAGCAACATCAACATCAACAGCACAGCAACAGCAACAGAAACAGCAACAGCAGCAGGAACAAGAGCAACAACAGCGACAGCAACAAGAGCGACGACCACAACAACCACAAGATAAACACCAACGCAGGCTATGCTTTGAACAAACATGAATGAATGCCAAGAGGGGCACGGGGGCTCATATCCGCACGTGGTTTCCGAATCATATCCGCGGGGGATCATAACCGCACGCAAAAGGGCATCATATCTGCCATGGTTGCCCGGTGTTATGGGAGGGTTCACGCCTCAAGCGATGATATCCGCACGTGGTTTGGGGCTTAGGGTTTACGGATTCGGGTTGTCGGTGTAGGGTTTGGGTTGAGGGCTTTAGGGTCTACATGGTTTAGGGTTTATTTTTTGTAATTTGTTAACAGAGCATCCATGCCCGCACATCGTCTTTGCTACTGGCCAGAGGCCAAAAGCATCCAGGCAGAACCACTGCAGCTGCCGAGGCTGCTGCCAAGGCGGGCGCCGCGGCACCGCACCTAAAGGAAAGACCACTTCAGACATGGCCACAGACAATAAGCATGACGAAAGTGCCTCATGTTGTGGAAAAGGCGCACAAAGCAAGGCACCTAGAGAAGCTTCGGGTTGTTGCGGACGAGCCGAAATGGGAGGAGGCCGAGGCGAGCAGCGAAGCGCCAGCGCGCACCTGACAAGGGGCGTCGAAACGAAAACAACATCTGACTATTCTCACTTGCTGCAACTTTGTAGAAAAAGCTGCAAGGTCCCTGGCCTTGCGTGGAGCCGACATCGTGATGCCAGGCTTTGCAAGGCCTCCGCCATCGATTCGGGGTACAATCCAAGAGATATCCAAGAGTACAAAGGGCCAGCTTGGAGCCAGGGGAAAGAACAGAGAAACAGCACCATCTGAGAGGGACATGGAGCGCTTGAAAAAGGATGCGCGTGCGCCACACGCGCTGTGCAGTGGCACGGTCGTAGCAGGTGCCTCGTAGCAACGACAGAGGTCCCAGGCACGACGGGCCCAGCACAAGCATTGGGAAATCCAGCCTGCAGCAACATCGGCAGCACCACCAGCAACACAGCAACACCCCACATATCGAATTCACTGCTACGCAGGGCCGTGGGCGCCAGCATGCGCCAGCCTTGAAAGCGACTGGACCAGCGGTGAAGATCCCAGGTTGGTGCAGCCTCTCCGCCAAGGACTGTAGACGTTAAGCTACGAAGAGCACCGACTGTGGCAAGATGTGAGAATGTGGAGAGTGCCACTGTGCCTGTCACCGGAAAGTAGCTTCCGACGGTGCCGAAGCCCACAATGGCCAGATCTTGGCTCTGTACTGCTCCTGTGAGAGCACAATGAGCAAGCGCTTGCTTCAAAGAGCACATCAACAAAAAGGGCACTTTGACGCAAGAAAAGAGCTGAGGGCATGGCCACCTTGCTTCACAATGCCACGAGTGGAGAGAGACGAGCCTCCGAGGCAGCGACTGGCATGACTGGCCCTAGGGCCCAGGCCTCTTGCGGGGACCTAAACGGAGAGCCCGGCCTGGAGAAACAAAATCCAACACTGGCAGGGGGCTTCCCGAGGAAGCCACGCTGGACCTGGGCAAACCGTGCTGCCGTGCTGCGCTCGGCTCCAGCGTGCCCATGTGGGCCGTCGTGCGCGGTCTCTCTTAAGTGAGTCCGGGACGGCAACGGCGGCGCGCCAAGCTGCGCCAAGCTTCGAGGAAGGGGAGGCGCGTCTGGGTGCAGGGAGTCGGGCCTCAGCGACGCTTCTTCTTTGGCCTCTTTCGGCTCAGTGCGTTGTCAGCAGCCCACCCTCCACACGCGAGCAGCGCAGCCTCTAAGCCAGCAGCACAGCCAGCACCAAATCCAAGTGCAAAGAACTGTGCAGGAACAGGGAGGCGTCCAAGCTTGCCAGGCCAGGGACCTGAAGCCGGTGAGGCTCAACTGAGCTGAGCCCTGAGCCAGAGAAAATCCCGAGCCACGCGCTGTGGCAGGAGGACCAAGCCGGCACAAGCCAGGAAGCAACACCAGTGGCCTCTGAGAGAACATGGATACAGAAAGCCGTGCAGCAGTGCATCGTCTTAAGAGCAACAAGGCACGGGCCCAGCTTGAGCGAGATTGCGAGGCGGCAGCGCCAAGTCCACATGCGCAAAGCACAAAGCCTCTCAGGCCATGAACTGGGGGTCTTGGGAGGTCTTTGGACGTCTTGGGTGAGTGCGGAGCTTCGAATGAGGGCTGGGCCAGAACCGGGGCACCGCATCGAAGGAATGACTGTAGCAGCAGCGGGGAGCCAAGACTTAGATCAGAGCAGCGGGGCTACGGCTAATGCTGAGATGCTGAGATCACCCGTGTTTCTCGAATGGTTTCTCTCGCTTGGGTCCTGGCTGCAAGGAGTCCACTGCAGCCGATGGAGAGCCAGAGCTCGCCATGCTGGACGCCGATGCCACTGGACCGAGCCTGCTCGCATCTGCTCGCATCTGCTCGCAACGCTCGCATTGTCATTGTGGATACGGAGCATCTGAGGGCCGGGCCAAGCCATGGCTCGCAAAGGCAACGGTGAGTCGGGTGAGGAGGCTCGGAATACCTGTGCGCCACAGAACTCAACGGTTTTAGGGCAACAGCGCCAGGGCCCGCCAGGGCCGGGGGGCGCACGGGCGCCACTGCCTCCAGCTTCGCGAAGCTTTGTGGCGAAGTTGCAGGCCTCGGGTGCGGCGAGGCATGTCCCTGCACAAGCGAGCACGAGCGCGACCTGCAAGCTGCCATCTGAGCTGCGTGCCCAAGATGCAAGACATGCAGAGCTGACATAAGGGCTGCCAGTCAGGAAATGCCACACCTCAATCAGCTGAACTAGCTCTTCTACTCTTCTGCTCGCAACTGAACATCACTGCAGCAACGAAGAATACGTAATCTTGCTGAGGGAGCGGCGCAAGGGTCGAGCTACCCGAGCAAGTCTTTGACCGCGGAGAAAGGGGCAAACCAAGGTTGGCAACGCCCTGGGCCGCAAGCCAGTGCAGCGAGGCAGTCTCAAACCAAGAGCTGTCCACGAGCTGCCCACAGGAGCTGCAGCTGCGATACCAAGCCTGCGACATGTTGCCGCGTTGCGTCCCCCACGCACTCACAGTCGAGACAAAAAAAGCGCCCTCTGCCAGTCGCCTTGCAGGGCTTCTGGCAGCAGGCGGCGGGCCCGCGTTCGACAGGGCCTGGGCAGACAAAGTGACTCGGGCCTTTCGAAACAAAGCGGATTTGGAAGTAAGTAACAGGCAAGAGCAGATATGGTAGCACCACACCTTCAACAAGGGCCGGTGTATGCCAGTGTGCTGCCAGTGCGCACGCGGCGTGCATGCAGTGTGCTGAAGTGCCAGGCCTCGAGTAACTTTTGGGTAACGAGAATGTACCAGCTTCGATGTTGCCCGGGACAAGAAGTGATGATCCCAGACGTGCCTGAGCAAACTCCGTCTTTCTCACTTTGTTTGGATTGCGAGGAAAAGGTCCGAGCCAATCCGTGCGACGGCAAGGATGTCTCAAAATGCGTGAAACCTGTCACAAAGACGAAGCTGCTCCCTCTCCCTGAAGGCGGCTCCAAACGGTGAGCCTGGCACGGACGCCATTGCTTCTAGCCTTGCGAAGCTTTGCGGCAAAGTCGTGAGCCTCAGGTGCGGTGAGACATGCCCCTGCACACCCTCCACAAGTGAGCACGAGCGCGACCTGCAAGCTGCCATCTCAGCTGCGTGCCCAAGATGCAGGGAATCTAGAGCTGACATAAGGGCAGCCAGTCAGGAAATGCCACACCTCAACTAGCTGAACTAGCTCTTCTGCTCGCAACTGAACATCACTGCAGCAACAAAGAATACGTAATCTTGCTGAGGGAGCGGCGCAAAGGTCGAGCTACCCGAGCAAGTCTTTGACTGCGGAGAAAGGGGCACACCAAGGTTGGCAACGCCCTGGGCCGCAAGCCAGTACAGCGAGGCAGTCTCAAACCAAGAGCTGTCCACGAGCTGCCCACGGGAGCTGCAGCTGCGATACCAAGCCTGCGACATGTTGCCGCGTTGCGTTCCCCACGCATGAACATGCGAGACGTAGGACTTATAGGTGCCCTCTGCCGGACGCCTTGCGGGGTTTCTGGCAGCAGGCGGCGGGCCCGCGTTCGACAGGGCCTGGGGCGGCAAAAGCGGTTTGATTAGCTGTGCTGGGCTGGCGCGCGCGGCAATTGACCTCACAAAGCACAAAGCACAGCGTGCTACCCGACAACGTACCAGATACAGGAAGTAAAACAGCACGAACCGTATACCCTCTGGGCGCGGAGCTCCTCTGCTGAGGGCCGAATTTGGGATTGGGCGTGGCGCAAGGAACCCTAAACCCTGGACAGAAGCGAGTGCGAGAACGGGCGAACTGCTGCCACAGGTCCGTGCACAAGACCAGGGTCGCGGGAAGAAGACGCAGCCAGGCTCGTCAACTACCCCTCCCCTCCTACGCCGGGTGCACCCGGGCGCAGCGAGCTCAGTGCGACCACAGCGGACAAGTGACCCGTGCGCAAAAGCCGGCAGTGACGCACTATTGACAATTGACCCGTGCGCGAGGCCGGCGCTGGTCAACCACCCGGCCCCTCCGCCGCCAAATGACAGCGAAACGGGCAAAAGCATGCAGGCAGAACCACTGCAGCTGCCGAGGCTGCTGCCAAGGCGGGCGCCGCGGCACCGCACCTAAAGGAAAGACCACTTCAGACATGGCCACAGACAATAAGCATGACGAAAGTGCCTCATGTTGTGGAAAAGGCGCACAAAGCAAGGCACCTAGAGAAGCTTCGGGTTGTTGCGGACGAGCCGAAATGGGAGGAGGCCGAGGCGAGCAGCGAAGCGCCAGCGCGCACCTGACAAGGGGCGTCGAAACGAAAACAACATCTGACTTATTCTCACTTGCTGCAACTTTGTAGAAAAAGCTGCAAGGTCCCTGGCCTTGCGTGGAGCCGACATCGTGATGCCAGGCTTTGCAAGGCCTCCGCCATCGATTCGGGGTACAATCCAAGAGATATCCAAGAGTACAAAGGGCCAGCTTGGAGCCAGGGGAAAGAACAGAGAAACAGCACCATCTGAGAGGGACATGGAGCGCTTGAAAAAGGATGCGCGTGCGCCACACGCGCTGTGCAGTGGCACGGTCGTAGCAGGTGCCTCGTAGCAACGACAGAGGTCCCAGGCACGACGGGCCCAGCACAAGCATTGGGAAATCCAGCCTGCAGCAACATCGGCAGCACCACCAGCAACACAGCAACACCCCACATATCGAATTCACTGCTACGCAGGGCCGTGGGCGCCAGCATGCGCCAGCCTTGAAAGCGACTGGACCAGCGGTGAAGATCCCAGGTTGGTGCAGCCTCTCCGCCAAGGACTGTAGACGTTAAGCTACGAAGAGCACCGACTGTGGCAAGATGTGAGAATGTGGAGAGTGCCACTGTGCCTGTCACCGGAAAGTAGCTTCCGACGGTGCCGAAGCCCACAATGGCCAGATCTTGGCTCTGTACTGCTCCTGTGAGAGCACAATGAGCAAGCGCTTGCTTCAAAGAGCAAAAAAGAAACATCAACAAAAAGGGCACTTTGACGCAAGAAAAGAGCTGAGGGCATGGCCACCTTGCTTCACAATGCCACGAGTGGAGAGAGACGAGCCTCCGAGGCAGCGACTGGCATGACTGGCCCTAGGGCCCAGGCCTCTTGCGGGGACCTAAACGGAGAGCCCGGCCTGGAGAAACAAAATCCAACACTGGCAGGGGGCTTCCCGAGGAAGCCACGCTGGACCTGGGCAAACCGTGCTGCCGTGCTGCGCTCGGCTCCAGCGTGCCCATGTGGGCCGTCGTGCGCGGTCTCTCTTAAGTGAGTCCGGGACGGCAACGGCGGCGCGCCAAGCTGCGCCAAGCTTCGAGGAAGGGGAGGCGCGTCTGGGTGCAGGGAGTCGGGCCTCAGCGACGCTTCTTCTTTGGCCTCTTTCGGCTCAGTGCGTTGTCAGCAGCCCACCCTCCACACGCGAGCAGCGCAGCCTCTAAGCCAGCAGCACAGCCAGCACCAAATCCAAGTGCAAAGAACTGTGCAGGAACAGGGAGGCGTCCAAGCTTGCCAGGCCAGGGACCTGAAGCCGGTGAGGCTCAACTGAGCTGAGCCCTGAGCCAGAGAAAATCCCGAGCCACGCGCTGTGGCAGGAGGACCAAGCCGGCACAAGCCAGGAAGCAACACCAGTGGCCTCTGAGAGAACATGGATACAGAAAGCCGTGCAGCAGTGCATCGTCTTAAGAGCAACAAGGCACGGGCCCAGCTTGAGCGAGATTGCGAGGCGGCAGCGCCAAGTCCACATGCGCAAAGCACAAAGCCTCTCAGGCCATGAACTGGGGGTCTTGGGAGGTCTTTGGACGTCTTGGGTGAGTGCGGAGCTTCGAATGAGGGCTGGGCCAGAACCGGGGCACCGCATCGAAGGAATGACTGTAGCAGCAGCGGGGAGCCAAGACTTAGATCAGAGCAGCGGGGCTACGGCTAATGCTGAGATGCTGAGATCACCCGTGTTTCTCGAATGGTTTCTCTCGCTTGGGTCCTGGCTGCAAGGAGTCCACTGCAGCCGATGGAGAGCCAGAGCTCGCCATGCTGGACGCCGATGCCACTGGACCGAGCCTGCTCGCATCTGCTCGCATCTGCTCGCAACGCTCGCATTGTCATTGTGGATACGGAGCATCTGAGGGCCGGGCCAAGCCATGGCTCGCAAAGGCAACGGTGAGTCGGGTGAGGAGGCTCGGAATACCTGTGCGCCACAGAACTCAACGGTTTTAGGGCAACAGCGCCAGGGCCCGCCAGGGCCGGGGGGCGCACGGGCGCCACTGCCTCCAGCTTCGCGAAGCTTTGTGGCGAAGTTGCAGGCCTCGGGTGCGGCGAGGCATGTCCCTGCACAAGCGAGCACGAGCGCGACCTGCAAGCTGCCATCTGAGCTGCGTGCCCAAGATGCAAGACATGCAGAGCTGACATAAGGGCTGCCAGTCAGGAAATGCCACACCTCAATCAGCTGAACTAGCTCTTCTACTCTTCTGCTCGCAACTGAACATCACTGCAGCAACGAAGAATACGTAATCTTGCTGAGGGAGCGGCGCAAGGGTCGAGCTACCCGAGCAAGTCTTTGACTTCGGAGAAAGGGGCAAACCAAGGTTGGCAACGCCCTGGGCCGCAAGCCAGTGCAGCGAGGCAGTCTCAAACCAAGAGCTGTCCACGAGCTGCCCACAGGAGCTGCAGCTGCGATACCAAGCCTGCGACATGTTGCCGCGTTGCGTCCCCCACGCACTCACAGTCGAGACAAAAAAGGCGCCCTCTGCCAGTCGCCTTGCAGGGCTTCTGGCAGCAGGCGGCGGGCCCGCGTTCGACAGGGCCTGGGCAGACAAAGTGACTCGGGCCTTTCGAAACAAAGCGGATTTGGAAGTAAGTAACAGGCAAGAGCAGATATGGTAGCACCACACCTTCAACAGGGGCCGGTGTATGCCGGTGTGCTGCCAGTGTGTGCGCGGTGTGCATGCAGTGTGCTGAAGTGTCAGGCCTGAAGTAACTTTTGGGTAACGGGAATGTGCCCGCTTCGATGTTGCCCGGGACAGGAAGTGATGCTGCCAGCCGTGCCTGAGCAAACTGCGTCCCTCACTTTGTCGGGCGGATTGCGAAGAGCAGAGTCGTTAAACATGTCAGACTTGCACGTCCAAATGAAGACGAAGAGAACCCTGCCCAGACGATGCCTCACAGTCCACGACGGCAGACTTCTCATGCCAGGCGCCAAAAGAGCACGTGGCGCGGCGTCCAGCCGTGTTCTGAGCAAGCCGCTTCGCAGCATCGGCAGCAACCCCGACTTTGAAGGGCCAAGAGCTAGCAGCACAAACTCCATCCTTCAAGGCGTCTCAAAGGCGTATGCTTCTGATTATACATGCGCTGCATTGCGCTGCTGCACTGCCTGGCAGATGACTTCACAAGCAGGGATGACCCCGAATGTGTGTAGCCTGCGCTGTGCAAGGCCATCTACAGGATCCCATTTTTTGCAGCGACATGACGCGACGTGACATGGTGCGACACATCTTAGACGAAACCGCGCCTGTGACCAAGGGATAGCTGCCAATGGTGCCAAATCCCACGATGGCCAGGTCTTGGCTTTGTACCGCGCCTCCAAAACACTGTCAGAGAGAATCCGAAACCGCACCGGTACTTTTCGTGCTTTTCTCGGTCACTCTCTTTGTTTTGTGCACTTCTCGACTTGCTTCCACGTCAAGAAGCCAAGAAGCGTTCTGACACTGGGTGCCCCCACCACCTTGCATCACCGTCCCGTGAATCGGTGGAGCTGGGCCTGCGCGAGATGAAGTGGTCTGAAGGGAAGGGAAAGAGGGAAGGGAAGGAGAGCGGAGGGAGCATGGAGGGAGCAGAGAGAGCAAAGAGAGCAAAGAGAGCAAAGAGAGCAAAGAGAGCAAAGAGAGCAAAGCATGGAGACAGATCCAACGAGACATCTGGAAACACTATGGCTCACATACGGCTCTCCTGAATTCACAAAGTCGGGGACCAGCGTGGAGCTCCCTGGGCGAAGTGCGCCAGACCTGTGACGGCCCTAGAGACAGCCTGCGCTGTGTCATGCGTGCGCATTCTGTTGCTCTCGTTCAGGCCCGTGCAGAGGCAGAAACGTACCAACCCGAGAAGAGCTGCGGGTAAACATCAGCAGCCCAGGCTGCAGGAGGTCCAGCCTAAAGCGGAAGCATGCTGAATGATATAAATATACGTGCAATATATATATATATATATATATGTATATGTTATATAAATATGTATATATATATATACACATGTATATGTATATGTAATCTATGAATCATACATCTGTGTAAATATGTAGAAGTGTATGTTGCTTAGCACCACATCTACAGATGCGGGAAAGATGCCAAAAGCCGTGGCGCATGGAAGCTAAGGGTCAGGCACAGGAGTTGCAGCGTCCAGGCACGCAAGGCTTCGCAAAGAAGGCATCAAGCCCAGGTGCGCGTGCCCAGCGACCTCTCGCGAGAGCTGCTTTCGCATGCTCTTACAGAAAAAAGGCCTCTTGAGTTTCTTTTTGTGTCTTCATGTGTCTTTCTGTTCCCTTATGTTTCCCTTTTCTCGCCGTTTCGGGCCGTTTCTGAGGCATCGGCAGGGAGGGACACACCGAGTCGGCCACAGCCTGGGAGTGGTGCCGACGGCCTCGCGGCTGAAAGCTTCTCAGCTGGGAGCACTTGAGCTGAGCACTTGAGCTGCTTGAGCAGCACTTGAGCTTGAGCTGCAGGCCCAGGTCGAAGCAGGTTGCGGGCAAGTGGTAAAGCATCAAGATGCGCATGTTGCGAGACCTCTCTGTTCGCAGTCTGAGCTTCTGCTCTCGTGCTCTCGCAAGGTCTTAGGCACAGACAGGCAACGCCAAATCAAGCTGGCCAGGCGAACGGACGAACATGGAGGAGTCAAGACTCAGTCAAGAAACCAGAACTTTGAAGATATGGACGCGATGAACATGCTTTTCTTTGCAGAGCATTCTTCTCTGCTGTCTAGGCAAAGGCACGGCAACAATTCCCTTCACCGAGCGGCTGCAATGATTGACAGGCAACGGGTGGAAAGCCTCTCGCGTCGGGTGAACTGCAAATTGCCAAAACATTTCTCTCCCCTCTAAGACCCTGAGATCCCTGCCAACTCAAGAAAGGCTCTGAAGGAGCGGCAGAGCACCAGGATGTGCAAAGTCAGGGACGGATGGCACGAGTCCAATCCTAGGATCGCTCTCTACGTCAGAGATCATCAAAGTGTCCCATAAAGCCATAGAGCCTCATCGGTGACGTCATGACGTCATGTGCTTCCCAGACTAAAAATAGCTGAGCTGCCGCGCGGTCCCACAGAGGACTGGGAAGGATCCGGTCCGAGCCATTCCATGCGACGGCAAGGATGTCTCCAAGTGGGTGAAGCCTGTCACAAAGACGAAGCTACTCCCTCTCCCTGAAGGCGGCTCCAAGCGTCTTATTTGACGGCCGAAAGCGGGGGACGATTAGCACTTGGCTACGGTCAGCCTGGCACGGACGCCATTGCTTCTAGCCTTGCGAAGCTTTGCGGCAAAGTCGGGAGCCTCAGGTGCGGCGAGGCATGTCCCTGCACAAGCGAGCACGAGCGCGACCTGCAAGCTGCCATCTCAGCTGCGTGCCCAAGATGCAGGGAATCTAGAGCTGACATAAGGGCTGCCAGGCAGGAAATGCCACACCTCAATCAGCTGAACTAGCTCTTCTACTCTTCTGCTCGCAACTGAACATCACTGCAGCAACAAAGAATACGTAATCTTGCTGAGGGAGCGGCGCAAGGGTCGAGCTACCCGAGCAAGTCTTTGACTGCGGAGAAAGGGGCAAACCAAGGTTGGCAACGCCCTGGGCCGCAAGCCAGTGCAGCGAGGCAGTCTCAAACCAAGAGCTGTCCACGAGCTGCCCACAGGAGCTGCAGCTGCGATACCAAGCCTGCGACATGTTGCCACGTTGCGTCCCCACGCACGCACAGTCGAGATAAAAAAAAGCGCCCTCTGCCAGACGCC